GGGCCTTCCGGTTGACTCCGAACTCCTGGGAGCGAACTGCCCTCTTCGGGCTCAGCTGGCTTCCTAGGCCTTCGGATTGGGTTCTCCCTGCGGAGACGGGCTCCATATGGCACTGGTGGCGGGCCTCCCGACGGGGCCCTATCTCCTCCGAAGCTACCAGGGAGTGAATGGTGCAATGTCGCTCTCCTTGCCCCAACAGTCATCCTCCATGGAGTACCGCAACTATGAAACTAAATTTAGGCCATCAGGCAATTTGGAAATGTGTTATTTTACTCTTAGTTAATCACACTTAACAAACTAATGAATCAATAACCATTTACCAGAATAAGCCAATAAGGTCTAAGATTGTTGGCCCAAACTTCATAATTGCAGCAAAGGAAATTAGAATAAGGACCACTTGATTGTATATAACGTTTTGCTCCGAAGTACTCTTAGCCATTTTCTTGGTCAGAATAAACTGATTGAATAAGGGTGTGCATTTATTCATTGCTTTATCACTGTATGGCAGTAGTTATAAACGGGAGTGTGGAGAAGGGATGAACAACTGGGAACTTCTACATGAACTCCACATTCCAGTGAGAATTTTTTTTATTTGCTTTGAACGTGTTTAGTTAGCCACACACGTAGAATTGGGAGGCATGGTGAAGCAATGGAGTGCGATTTTAGTTGGCCAGCCATCCACAAATTTGGAAATATCAGCACGGTGGTAGCAATCTACTGATGGGCTAAAACCTCTCCGGTTTATCTGCAACACTGCTACCTCTTTCACTTTTCGCTGATGAACTAAGAAAACAATGCAGAGACCTAGGAAAAGTAATGTAAAAACATCAGTAGTATCATATTCCAAGACCAGCAGGCAAATGGATCGCCTGGTGTAGAAATCATGCTCAAGCTCCTTGCGACGATCACCTATGGTCATACAAGGATGGTCGGGGACTCGGGGTTTTGCTATGCAATGAGTCTCCGTCCACTAACTTTCTAGGTTTCAGAGAATCAGTAATTGTTAAAACACAGTGGCAGGCAGCAGCCACCTCTAGCATCGTTACAGGTGTCAATATTCAGTTCTATAATTCAACAGAAAATATACAGTGATCATGCCTAGGTGAAGCAAGTTAACTTGTAAATATTATTACTTGATTCCGAAGCTAGAGCCAATGGTATATACATCCCACTTTACAAAATCTTGGAAAGGTTTCCGGAGGCGTCTGACTTAAGGCGGCCACCTGTGAAATGCACTACCACACAGGCGGGGTTGTGAGGTCATCTTAATTACGCAGATCACCGCCTGTAAAATTCATTTTCATAGAGGACCGCCTTAAGATGACCGCCTGCGATGATCCTTTTTAAAGACGGTGCTTTACCCGCCTATGCAAATACCTTAGCTTCACATGCCTTTTAAGCGGCAATCAGTGGACCCATCTCTGTAAATGCGTTTTAGCCACCTATAGAAAGGGTTTTCTCAGTAGTGTGTCCATATTGAGTAACATCGAAGTCATGGACTTTATATACGGGTGTACTTATAGTACATCATTTATGCTTTATATTTTCTACTTCGTAAGATATAAAATACAACAGCGGAGAGAGTAGCAAGGTCAAAACAGGGGAATCCATAACCACTCCACGAAATCTAGATACCAGAGTGAGAGAGTAAGTGCTTTGAGCGCAAGCATGCAAGATGGCTACATATATATGTTGGATTCTGAGGCGTTGCGAATCAAGGGAGCACAGCAAGTTATGTCATATCACAACCTGAAAATAAGCTTATGGAATCCTGATGCTACAAAACCTCCACTGTTTGTAACACAACTGCTTCCTGCTCTTAATTCACGGTACAAATTAATAGTGTAGATAGCAACCCAAGAACTGTAGTCATAGCCTACTCCTTGACAATAGTTGGTAATCGACTTACCGGACTGAGATACATTAGCTAGCTAGAGATGCAGATGGGCGCTGCTGCCATGGCTAATTAGTGGAAGACTAGCTAGGGCTAGCTGAGAAATGAGAATCGCAAGACAATATAACTAACAAAATACGTTCCATATAAAAGTCAAGTGTGAAAAAGCATAGTAGCATATATAATAGCTATTCGAAGATCTAGGATTGGGACGAAGAGAGTACTACTTCGTAACATATATAGGATTGGGAGACGTGGTGAAGCAGAGGAGTGCGTTGTGTTTTGACCGTCCATGTTTGTTGAAGCATCAGCGCTGAGGATGCAAACTATGCAGATACAGTTAAACCTCTCAAGAATATATAGCTAGAGAAAAAAAGGGGAGAAAAGTTGTTCTCAGATGACTTATATAGGTAGTGTTTTGACGCCAAAATGATTTATATTTGGAAGGAGAGGAAGCAGTGGCTTCTGAAGGCGACAGATATTTATAAGCGAAATTCTACCATTATGCTATTCTTAACAGAACCGAGAGAATTAAGCAGGAGATTATAACACATTTTGGTTTTCCATGATGCAAATGCAAGAGGCCCATCACATAATATACAAATACATGTTGTTGCATACAAGGGATTGAGAGGTATAGGAAATAAAACGGGAGCTTTAGGTATCTGAATGTCCAAGAACGCTTTGATGCATTCAATTCGACGAAGCATATTAACATCATAAGCGGATGTTATAAAACCAGCCCCGAAATTGACATCGGTAGCTAAAACGCGGAAGAAAACGCCATAGGAGATCTAAAACGATGACGACACCGAGACACGATATTTGGTAACGGAGTTCAGCCGTAGCCTACATCTCCGGGGCACTGATTACGGGCGCTCCTCCCCGATCCAGCATATACAGCATATCAGAGTTACAACGACTCACGGCCGGTCGATGCCGGCAGCCGCTCCCTCTTGCTATGCTAAGTCGCCATGCGGTTACAACAGGCACGCCCCTCTATTTATGAGAGAACCTAGGATAGAGTCCGACTCATACTCTAGTCCTAATACCCATTATAACTCCAAGTCCTAAACTGTAACCGACTACGTACACATATTCGACACAAACTCTAACAAACTCCACCTTGACGAATATGCCACGCCAACCTGAATTTGTTACTTGCTCGAACCTCCGTGTACCAGGACTTGAGTTGGTTCTGCCACAGTTCACGCCGAGCCACCCGACGAGCCTACGCCAGGCTCACCGCCTTCAGGATCGTGCACAGCAACACCAGCATGCCTATCTTCCATGACTCCACCTGCAACAGCACTTCCTTGTAACTTGTACAAACATGAGCTTGTCCTCTCACCAGTCATAACAGTCTTGCCGTCCTTCATGATATTCATGGTCTTCCTATCAAAATCCACCTGATACAACCAACTTGTCTCATGTAGGCTCCCAAGCGAAATCAAACTCTTCCTTAGTCCCGGCATGTGTCTCACATCTGAAAGTAGCACCTCGTTTCCATCATACATCTCGAACTTGACATCACCCACTCCAACAACACGATAACTCGTGTCATCGCCCAAGTAAACAACACCAAAATCACCAGATTTGTATGAAGAGAACCACTCCCGCTTCGATGTCACGTGATAGGAACTAGCTGAGTCCAACATCCACGCTTCTCCAGACTTCTCATTAGACACTGTGAGAGTCTCATGACTGCTGCTATCTGAATCATCACCACGAGCTGCTAAACTTGCAATGCCACCTTTCCTCTTCTTCAGTAACGGGCAATTCCTCCTTATATGTCCAAACTCATGACACTTATAGCACCGTGCCCCCTTATCCTTGCTCTTCGACACCCCCGCTTCATGATCATGCTTTGCCTTGACCAGCAAACTCTCAGCCTGAGAAGCCTCCATTGCCTCGTTTTTGTTTGATCTTCTCAAGTCTCGTGCAAGCAACGATGAAATTTTCTCCTCAGTTTTGACAGTATCCTTGCCGTGCATCAGGGTAGTCACCACATGTTCATATGACGGTGGAAGCGAGCACAGAAGAATTATGGCCATGTCTTCATCATCAAGTTTCACATCTAACTTACTTAGATCCACAACCAACTGATTGAAGACGTCCACGTGCTTCCTAAGATCTGACTCCTCTTGCATCTGCAAACCATACAGCTGTTGTTTGAGATACAACTTACTCGTCAGCGACTTGGACATATACAGGCTTGCCAACTTGTCCCAAATTTCCTTCGGCGTTTTTTCATCCATGACCGGGTACATGACAGAATCCGAGAGACTCAAGCGTATTGTTGCAGCTGCCTGCGCCTTCATCTCCTCCCACTTGCCAGCATCCATCTTTTCCGGCATCGTCTCCTCAAGAGCCTTGGATATCCCTTGTTGAGCCAATAGATCCTTCAGCCTCATCTGCCAGAGAATGAAATTCCCGGTGCCATCGAACTTCACCACCTCAAATTTGGAAACCACCATCGCCGCCATCGACGATAATCAACTCAACAGCTGTTGCCCTGTTAAATTGATCTGCCCTGATTAATTGACCCACCGACTAAACTTGCACAGTCACCAGTCGGACAAAACCAACCCCTTTTCTTTTTCTCCAAAAAACCGGTTCGGTTTTTTTTTCGGTCAAAAAACCAATCAAACCGAGCGGTCAAAGGAATCAGATCGATTCCTCTCCTTCCTTCGGCCTTTTCTCGCTCCCCTTCCTCCTGCGCACGCGTTCTCCCGATGCGCCGCCGCCTCCTGCTCCTCACGCCACCGTTCTGTGCCGCCGGCCCCGCAAGGGACCACCGCGCCGCCCCGCCTCGGAAACCGCCTGGGCGCCGCCACCTCCTGCCGCCGTCACCTGCGCCGACTTCGCGAGGAGCCGCCGCGTCGCCTGCCTTGGGAAGCCGCCGCCTGCCACCTGGGAGCACCCGCCGTCGAAGTCCGGCGCCGGTTCCTCGCCGGGAACCGCCGCCGCCGCCGCAAGCTCCTGCCCGAGCTACGACGAACGCCGCGCCGAGCACCACGCCGCTGCACGCCGCCTGCAATGACGCCTCCAGCCGCCCGTGAACTCGCCGCCCCAAACCACGCTGCCCACGAAATCAGAGGTAAGATCTCGCCCTTGCCTTGTGGTTTGTTTCGATTGCGTTGTTGCAATCCCGTGGTCCTCCGCTGCTTTTATTTGGGAAAAATCGAGTCCCATTCATGGACAGATCGTAATCCTCGTCCGATTCCCCTTCCGTGCTTGACTAGGTCTCTCCCTCAATCTGTTTCTCTATTGTGCTATGCATCCGAGTTGGAAACATATCCGACTCCTTCCATGTCACAACCTCTCCAGATCGAGTCCTGTGCAATCCGACTTCCTGCTACTCAGGCTCTGGCCACGTTCCATGGTCCCGGCTTCAACACCAACACGTGCACACCGCCATCTCCGTGACCTCCTCAGCCTCCACGCACCCGTACGACCTCTAGCGTAGCCACCTAGCCTCCCGCTGAACCTCGCCAGTGACGAATACCGCCGGTCAGTTGCAACCAATGCTTATTGCTGTGCTAACACAATTGATCAGCGCATTGACGGTCTGAAATTGACTGCCCTTCTGCTTGATTCCGTCGCTTTTCATATGTGCGCTTTCTCCGTAGCAGTCTGTCACGCAAATACCTCGTCAACACCTCCAAAACAGCCTATAGGATCCACACGCTCCGACTTTTGATTGAACGCCATCAATCTAATCGCGAGCCGAAGCCGATAAGTCGCATGCCGTCTTCCCAGCCACCGAACGATCCGAGCGCTACGTCTAGCCGTCTCCCTGTCGAACGTAGCTTATCGAAAGGCCCGGGCCACCCCGCCCAGAGTGTTCGAATCCACCGATCGAGAACGCCGATCGCCTCCAGCTTCAATCAACCCGAGCATGCGGCCGCACGTCTCCCTGTCGAGAGTAGCTCACCGGAAAGTCCGAGCCACCCGCCCGAAGTGTCCGACCCACCGATTGGATCGCCAATCGCTTCCGCCGCCATCAACCCGAGCACCACGTCTAGTCATCTCCCTGTTGAAAGCAGCCATCGACGGTTCCGGCCGCCGCCAGAAGTGTTCGATCCACCGATCAAGACTCCATTGATCGCCGCCGTGCTCCACCTTGCACCAATGCCCCTCCCTGGGCATTACAGCAGGCTATGCGGTGTGGAGCACCTCCATTGCGCCTCTACCATGGACCTTCTGCAGGCTCTGATACCACTTGTTATAAAACCAGCCCTGAAATCAACATCGGTAGCTAAAACGCGGAAGAAAACGCCATTGGAGATCCAAAACAATGACGACACCGAGACACAATATTTGGTAACGGAGTTCAGCCGTAGCCTACATCTCCGAGGCACTGATTACGGGCTCTCCTCCCCGATCCAGCATATACAGCGTATCAGAGTTACAACGACTCATGGCCGGTCGATGCCGGCAGCCGCTCCCTCTCGCTATGCTAAGTCGCTATGCGGTTACAACAGGCACGCCCCTCTATTTATGAGAGAACCTAGGATAGAGTCCGACTCATACTCTAGTCCTAATACCTATTACAACTCCAAGTCCTAAACTGTAACCGACTACGTACACATATTCGACACAAACTCTAACAGTGGCTATGGTTGGAAAACAATTATATAACAAGATCAGATTACCTACGGTTGGAAGAAAAAGAAATTGAAAGTGTTGGACCGATAAAATAATTTGTTTTTCCAAAATTGGTCGGTTCAGTGAAATAAGCGTGTGGAGAGTCATATTGTCCATTCGTTTTATTCAAAAACTTTTGTAAAATATGTAAAACATAAAAATATATTTAACAATAAATCAAATGATAGGAAAATAATTAATAATTACTTAAATTTTTCGAATAAGATGAACGGTCAAACATGTTAAAAAAAATCAACGGCGTCAAATATTTAGGAACGGAGGGAGTACTTTATAAGAAAAATTCCATATATACCTCTAATTTTTTATTGAAAAAGACCGTCTCATGCCCTGCCATTGTCATTGCTCACAGCTCCGCCACCTTGTGCCCCGCCATCGCCGTCGCTCGCTCGCTCGCTCATGAGCTGTTGCTTGTTTTGCCGCTGCGACTCGCCGTTCCTAGCCTCGCCGCCGACATATCCACTCACGAGCTCGCACCCGCCACCGTCGTCGCCATCGCCTGTTCTCGGCCAGGGTTAGGATTGGAGCAGCATAGAGAACAAGCGACGACTACATAACCTAGTATATATAGTAGTATTTTTCTTTCAACTACTTGCAAGCGTGAGCTTCTTCAGTTGACCCAAATTGAACAACATATTATGGAATTTATCAGGATGTACGATCCTTCATTATTTCTACATCCTCCATTTCAAAATGAGTTAACCTATTGTTCAGATTTGCAGTACTAGCATATTCAATATTAGATTAACTTATTTTGGTACGAAGAGAGTACATTAATTGTTCATGTTGCTTCCTAACCGATAAAAGGAGAACAAAGAGAAGAGTAACCATCGTCAATGGAGAAATCCTTTGTCATATCTTACATACCCATGAAAGGTTCAATGCATCACAAGTGTATTTGTGCAGTGTACGTAGCCTACGCAAAAATAGGATTGGGAGTCAAAAGGAAGAAACGAAGCATATCGTGAATTGGTCAGCCAGCCACATTACCAATTTTCTCCGGCAGCATTGAGGTATAGAAATCATAATAGACATTAGAGTCTAGCTCTCGGCTGGTTGATCTTCCACACACTGTAACTGTTGGTGTAGTTTAACAAACCGATGAAGCAATGTAGTGGAGATGCTCTAGTTGTCCAGACGAGAAATGGCGGCACTGAAGCTGGTCAGATCAGGATGAAGCAGCAAAGGCCTGCCGTTGTTGGCCAAGAAATTCTGAAACTATCAAGTACACCTTCAGGATCAATATATGGTAGCATCATCCTTTTGAAGCGTCGTCTAAAATCCTTACGTACCAAGCCCTGTTAGCTCAGTTTTTCTACTGAACATGAACACATTTACTTGTCTATAGCTAGCTAGTATTTGTCGATCCGGAGGTTAGAAACACAAACAAAAATGATATCGTGGTCCGACCAAAATGGGACGGACATACCCCACAATGGCGCCGTGTGGACCCAACTGAAACATTGGGTAGTTGGCGACAGCTCTTTTGGGCTGAAACTTCTAAGTTTTCAAGTGATGAGGTATATTCTATTAAGTCTGGGCTATATTGCATACTTATGGAGCATAATGCTGGGATATAGCTAGTCTTGTTGATTTTCATTTTCTAATAATCTAATATAGTTGCATGCTTCGCCAGACTCCAACACATGCATATATTGAAAGCCATCTTAAAACTGACATCACTAAGTACTTGCCATACTACACTATATATGCACTAATGTGAAATATATAAGTTACTTAGACTTCTGGTATCCTACTATCCTTCATGTTTACACCCTAGCAGCAAAGATGAGAATTTTTTTTATCTTTTAGACTTTTTTATTTTCTAATTTTATTAATAGAACTTTCCAAAACGTATTTCCAAATCTAAAGCTTTTGGCCGCGCTAGCCCGCCTAGCGTGGCCAAATAACTTTGTTACGCCACGTGCAGATGTCGTGGCAGTGTTGTTCTGCCACACCAGCCTCTTGCCTCTCGGCTAGCATGGCTAAAAGATTCAGTTTTTGAAAATATTTATTTGGAAAGATTTATTAATAAAATTAAAAAAAGTCTAAAAAATAAAAAAAATCGAAAGATGACTCATTTATTTGAAATCTATAACACTTAATATACATGTTGTTGCATACATGGGATTGAGAGGTATATATAGGAAATAAAACGAAATTAAGCTTTACGTATCTGGGTGTCCAAGAACGCTTCGATGTATTCTATTGGACGAAGCATTAACATCATAAGCGGCTACGGTTGGAAGAAAAAAATTATATAACAATATCATAGCTCCTATGGTTGGAAGAAAAAGAATTGAAAGTCTACGACCAATAAATTAATTTGTTTTTTTTAAATTGGTCAGTTCGGTAAAATAAACTAACCGTGTGGAGAGTCACATTGTTCGCTTGGAATGCTACTTTACTGTGTTGTGCTCCCTCATCATGAAAATTGTTTCACGATGAAAAGCAGTTGTTTCACCATGAAAGGAAATTATATGAAAATTGTCATGGGATGAAAACCTGATTGGAACTTGGAAACAGCGAAATGGCACAAGCAAAGCGCACGTACGCGATGCGAGGAGACATACTCTGCCTTTGTCAATAGGATGGTTCGCATGAATCGGACTACCAGCAATGACTGAAGCGGAAAAAACGAAAATACTCACGCTCGGGCGATCGGCGCAGGGGGAGCCGGATCGGGCGCTCCCCCGCGCGCCTCTCCCCTCACGTGCGTACCTGTTGGGCCCAACACTTCTCCCTCCCCTTTTTTTAAAAAAGATGTTTCATTATAATGTTTTACTTTTTATAGATCTAATGTTTTACCAATGAGAGGGAGGGAGAGAGCGGCGGCATCTTGGCTACAGCCAACATTGCCCAAGTACAACGCATCCTCCGCTGGTGCCGCGCTCGTCGTCGCCACCATCTCCTCCTCAATGCTGCGCGGCCTTCGCGCGCCGCTTGCCGTCCACCACCACGCCCCGACCACTGCTCGCCATGGCCACTGCGTCCCGCCATGCGGAGGCAAAGAAAGGGCGTGGCAGAGCGGATCCGGTGCCGACGAGGTGGATGGCGACAAGCGGCGGGGAAGACAGGGAGAGATTGGCGGCGGGAGAGAGAGGCGCCGTGTGGAGGGAGAGAGAGAGAGAGGGAGAGAGTGGCGATGAGAGTGAGGGAGGAGACCGTCGCTGGGAAAAAAAAGAGGAGGGTGTCGTAGAGAGGGAGAAGAGAGGGGTAGTACAGAAAAATACCCACTGTGGGCTTTTTGGGTTGGGACACCCATTGTGGGTTTGTGTATCTTCACCGAGTTGCTTCAAATTTTGAAAACCCCACCTAGGCGTAGCCTCCATTGAGAGATGTGTGCCCCTGGGAGTGCCCTCAGTTAGTGAGGGCACTCTAGTATGGTTTTGATTGTAGATGCCCTTAGCATATCATGGTCACTACCAAGCAGAAGTTCAGCACTACCTTGCGTGGTGTGAAGTGCGCCAATTTCAAACCAAATGTGAGTAGACTTTGAAATTAGAGGTGATGGTAAATCTATTTGACCATTCCCAGCTTCAAAATCGTAGCAATTGTGTATTAGTTTCCACATAAGATGAAATATAAACATTGGATCTAGCGATTGGTCGATTGTGAGGTCAGCACGTAGTATGAGGAGAGACAAGAGGAAGCCGGCCAGCGGTTACACTTGTTGTTTAGTAATGAAAACGACTCCACCAAACCCAACATCCGGTGGCTTGCAAAAAGGCCCAGCCCAGTTATATGGGTGATACAATGACATGTCCTTTGAAATCTAATTTGGGCCCAACCAAGATGGGCCGCATGGAAATCCTACATGTGCGTAGATGCATTGCATATTTCTATACGCCCCATCTTGTATGGGTCATAACTGAGCCACTCCTAGGCTCACCCAACTGGAATTTTTTGGGCTTAAATTGTTGAGATCTTCTTCCAGGTACCCATTTTGGGTTCAGACTGTGTTAGTGTTTAACTTTAAAGCTTTTTTCTATTTCTCATCTCTTCCATCCACCTCATCAAAAAGATAATGCTTTAAACCCATTTAATGTTATTGCTTCGATAAATTCTTATATATATATATATATATATATCATCCTGATCAAATTCTAACAGAGAACGCAGAACAAATCTTTGAAAAGGCAAGCAAGAAGTAGGTGTACGTGAACTATCAGGTAATTAGGAAAACACATATGGGGAGCATTGATCAATGATCTCCTCGTCACCCACAAATACCTTTAGGCTTGGAAGACATCAAGAATACAGTAGGGACACTTGTATCCAAGGGCGGAGACAAGAGTAGAGCAGCTAGAGCTTGGGAATTTGATGAAACTACTACTGGCTCAGTATAACGGTGTTTAGGCATGTGTCTTAGGGTTTTTAATGGAACTTCATGGGTTGTTAGATGGCACGAACATTGAGTTTCTAATTGTTCTATTTGTATCAGAAGCTACAACATGTAAAGTTGAGTTACATTGTTTGTCTTCAAAGTAAAAGAGACAGAAAACTGCCCCAAATCCCCCCCAAGTCCTTTGTTTCTTCCTTTGCTCTGAATTTTGTCGGAACAGCTACAGAGTGCGCCCAAAGTGTTCGTCCATGGTTCTTCCCAACAAAACTAATTCTAATGAATAAATAATCTTTTATTTTGCAAAATATAATTTAAGAACTGCTGCTCCAAATTTCATAATAGGGAAAAGAGTAAAAAAATTCATGACATTTAGAGGCCCAGCACTAGCCTAGGAATTTGCTTCCCATATATCTTGTCCAGTGCTCATGCCATGTTGAAATACTTTTCATTTTTCTTTCATCAAATTGCATGCTTCACCAGCACGTCCATATTGAATGCCATCTAAACACTAAAAATACATCCCACAAATCCTTTAGCATTTTTAACCCGAAAACTTGCTACCACAAGCTTTCCCAGGATGCACATACTGAATCTCTCTATGTTGACGTTTTTTTTTTGGCAAACAAAAACTCAACTAACAATTTGAGTATAATTTGTGGACAACATAAATGCTACTCAATGGACATATGAAAGAAAAGCAGAGACATAGATGAGCAACATGAGAACTTCAGCTTGAGATATACATACCAACTAGAGATTCAGTTGCTACTGCTTTACAAGACTATTTCATAGCACCTACATATAGGAGTGGGAGGCATGGTGAAGCAAAGAAGTGCATTGTTTGTCTACCATCCATCAAGAGTAAAATTTTTATCAACACGCAGTTCAGATACTCTAGATGCAGTATAACTTCTCGGGTCTATCTATAACGGAGCCGCCGCTTCAATTTTCCTATTGCCTAACCAATGGAGCAAACAATGTATAGTGTCTAGATGGCTTTGGAAAGCAATCCAAGAACATCAGTGGTAGCTTGCTCCTAGTCCAGAAGGAAAATGTGTCGCTTGACGAGGTACCACTGAATCTTCACCAGCTATCGTGAATGGGATGATCTGAGTTGGATGTGCAACCAAGACTTCGCCACAAAAATGGGAAATAGTCATACCAAGATGAAGCAAGCTAAGATGCATATATTACCAATTATATATGTATCCCAATTTACAAATCAATTAGCATTACTGTGCGATGTTAGAGAAATATTTCAGATGATTTTCCTACTCAGAAAGAACCTGGTACATTTGCACGGTGCATTAACAAGGCAGAAGAAACATAGGCTCTGCTTGTAGAGGCAGAGATGACTATTGCCGGGCACACACCTGATGCGGGAGAGCGAGCATGGCTGGAGGTAAGGGTGTAAATGAATAAACCGCGAAACTCACTTATAGGTCTGACCTATAAGTGGGTTTTGCAGATTAAATACTTATTCCCCTGGCTTGAGGTCGTCACGTACAGAAACATGTCACTCGTAGCCGTCCTAGCTGAGATACGGTAGCACGCGAACCAGACTTTGTGAGGCCTAATGTCTAGCCCAGACTATCCAGGCCACATTTAAGCCACATGCCTAGCCCAGCCCAGTTGGCAAGGTAAGTAGCTGACCGGGACATGTTGGTGTGTAATGCACAAAATCGAACGAGGAATGGCTCTTTGTAATTCAGATGTTCCTATAGCATTTTCGCTCAACAACATAATTGGAATCTACAACCAGCGGCGCGCGGATTCACCGCCGGACCAGCACGCGGGGGAATTGCCCGGGTTTCGTCTGCACGATCCATTGAAGTCTACTGATTTCGTTGTGTACAAGTCTACAGATTTGCTGATTTCTGACAAAGTTAGCAGGCTAAACTCTTAATTAGAAGCCGTGGAACAAGCATGCTTCACTGTGGCTGAAGTGATTGAGTTGAGTACTAGCCATATGAATCATCCTTTTTTATTACAAATCATCTTGTTGTTCAACTAGTGAAAATTTACATGCATGTTAAACTATGCTTTTATTAGAAAAGCTGCTGTGTGTTCAATTTGGTAGTAAAATCGGCATATAAACATTTGATAAGTCGGTAGTGGTTTTATAGAGTTTTTATTGATTTGCTCAGGCTGCTTAAAATTTCTAGTTCCGCCATTGTCTGCAACCATGTTTTTTCAGCATTCTTTTTTTTTTAAACAGTAGATGGTAGGAGTTCTACCGGATATATTAGAAGAAGAGAATTGACCCTATTTATAATGAAAACCGGGCCCAAAAACCATATAACTGCACAGTTTACTAAAGGGAAACCGCTAAAACCTTGCACAGAAGACACAAAAAGCCTATGACAAAACTACAAACCACAGTAGACATCGAGAGAAGAGCAAAACCTTCAAGGCGAAGCCTCCAAGGAGGTGAACAACGACAGAAGCCGTTATCAACGCCCACCCAACTGGGCTGGGTTTTCACGCAAAAGGGGAGAGAGTCCACAAGGCAACACCTTCAACGAGGAAACGGCACCCGTAGGCGTCGATGTCGACGATCCTAGGAGACCAGACTAGGCTTTTGCCTAAGACTCCCTCAAAAGGTGTAGAGCCTCTAGGAAACCAGAGCCGGAGTGTTGAGTATTATCGTTGCCCCGGCCCATCGGCTAAACCCGATGCAGCAGCTCCGACTCAGCCTAAACACAAAGACTCTAGTATCGTAGAGGACAAGCATCCCGCTCAACACTCGGCACTACAACAGGTTCGCACCGACACAGGGCACTTGAAGCAACGGCGTGGCCAAAGAGCCCTGACTACAGACAAACTGAACCTCCAACACAGACAAACAGAACACCTCAACCACCGAAAGGCTCCACGGCCAGGTCTGGAAGCAGACGGCCAAAAAGAAGGGAGGATCACCAAGGAGTGAAGGAGGCTTGGCCGGCTTGAAAAGGAACTAAGAGCTGAGTCAGGGGCAACAAAGACATCAGTGTCTTCTATGAATCCGGCGAGGATCTCCGGGCTTTGCGAGACACACCAAACAACTGAGCAACCACCTCAAACTAAACCACCAACGCAGAGAGAGGCGCGCTGGGGCGAGGAGAAGAGCAACTAAGAAGAAATGCTAGTGAGGAAGGGATGGGGGGAAGGGCACCGGCGCAGAGAGACGGCAGACGCCCCTTTTGCTAGGAGACGACACAGAGACCAAAGGAGGAAGGAGGAAGGGAGGAAGAGAATAAGAAGTGGGTTGTTGAGGGGGTGGCCTCAGCAACCGCCAAAGATGAAGAAGAGGCAGGAGACCAGAGATGCCGACGCCCTAGAAGGCCGACTCACCCCGCCGACCACCGAAACCGGCAGGCGCCGCAACGCCGCCACGCGAGCGCGACGGTGAACTCCGCCGCCCACGTGCCAATATTCGCACCGCCGCGCATGCCTGTCGCCACTCGAGCGCCTTGCGCTGCCGTGACCCCGTCGCCTGATGCCACAGCGGCCGCCGCCAGCCGCACCGTCCAACAACACCGCCACAGACGCTCCATCCAGATCCAGCGACGGCGGTGCCGGATCTGTCCCCGACAAGCCGGAAACCTCGCCGCTGCCACCCCCGCCACGGGCGAAAAAAAGCCACCTCCCCCATGCCTGAGAGGGGGCAACAGCGTGGAGAAGCCCCGCCGCTGCCATCCTACTCACCATTCGGCTTTGCCAGTAGTGAGCTCCAGTGGCGGCGAGGTAGGGGGAGGGGGTGACATGGGGTCAGCACCGGCGGTAGGGTTTCGCCCAGGTGTCACCTGCGCGTGGGAGAGGGGGGGGGAGAGGGTTGAGTCTAATTCTATTATGTCTAATTCTAATTGTATTATGTCTTGTAATTTTTCAGCTTTCACAAATTGAATAATATTAAAGTTTCAGCTTTTATTTTACATTCCGACTCTCTGGCATATAAAAGGAGAGGAGATAGAGAAGCAATACTAAGTTGCGAACCGTATTGTCAATCGAGAACTCCCATGAGATCTACACTAAATTTAGTGGATCACGAGTATCGTACGTGTAGTGTAGCCTACCATAGGATTGGGAGGCCACAGGAAGAAAAGTAGTGTATTGCAAATTGGCCATCCATCCATATATGTCTTGAGGACGCTATTCATTGGGGTAGCAAACTCAGTAGCTTATTAATGTAGTCCGAATTACCAAGCAAACATAGTACACCGTAGAGGCCTTTGGCTAGCAAAGCAAGATTGACGACACATATAATGCTACACATGAAAGCAAGTAAAGCATGTCGCAGCGTTTGAATAAGTGAAATTGATAAAATGTAATTACGGCGGCTGCAAGCTGATTGAGATGAGAGCAGGAGGAGAACGCTGGTCATAGTAAGAAGCAATTGTGACAATCATTGCGATATTTTACATGTATGCAAGGAATATATAATAAGAGCAGTCTTTTCAACGTCCTTTGCACTTACAAGTTACAACTCATTTTACTAGTAATAATACTAGCCTTTTAAATTCAGGCAACGCGGTAGCTCCACGTTACTAATTAGCAAAACTAACACGACCAACAAACGAAAACTAAATAGGTACTTTCTCCATTTCACAATGTAAGTTATTCTAGCATTTTGCACATTTATAACAATGTTAATGAATCTAGATAAATATATATGTATTAATATCTAGATTCATTAACATCAATATAAATGTGGGAAATACTAGAATGACTTACATTGTGAAACGGAGGGAGTACATCATTGCTCAGATGACTTGCCTATTATATTTTCTCACTTCATATGGAAGTCCATATAAACTCTCTAAATTGTTACTCCCTCCTTCCCTAAATATTTGACACCGTTAACTTTTTAAATATGTTTGACCGTTCGTTTTATTCAAAAACTTTTGTGATATGTGTAAAACTATATGTATACATAAAAGTATATTTAACAATAAATCAAATGATAGAAAAAGAATTAACAATTACTTAAATTTTTTGAATAAGACGAACGGTCAAACATTTTTAAAAAAGTCAACGGCATCAAACATTTTGGGATGGAGGTAGTATGTACTTGTGTTTTTTCTCCAAAAACTTTACGTGCCAGCATATTGCTTAGATGACTTGTCTATTCTATTCTTTTACGTTATAGGAGAAAGTCCATATGTATATATACCTCCAAATTTTGATTGAAAGTCTGTCTAGCAACCTAAATCTTAAAACCGGACATTCAAACCCCAAAATCATATTTTTAACCCAAATTCTCATACTAAATAACAACGGAAGTTATATGGAGTGGAGTTTACAAGGGTGTAGCACGTACTACGTGCTACTTCAACCGTAGATAAAACAAGGGTAGCGCAAGTGACAAAAGCAACCGGGAAAAACTTCGCGAGATCTGAGAGAGTCGATCGCTACTACTGCTTTCGCACGAATAATGTCGCACACAGCTTCACACACATATGATTGGGAGGCATGGTGAATTAAAGGTGCACATGACGACTTCACCAACCATCCATAGCTAAGGGTGTAGGAGCAGCGAGGTCGCAAACACTCTAGATGCAGTAGAACCTATCTAGTTTAGCTGTAACACAAGTGCCTCTCTCTCTGTTAGTACGTCCTTGTAGCTTCGACGACCGAGTAAGCAGTTTAGAGCGTTGGATGGAAGCAAAGCGATAACATCAGTTCTGCATGCTCATACACCAGCAGGCAAATGAATAACACGGCTGAGAGATGGACTTTAGCAGGAGTTGGTTGAAGCTTCGACACCTACTGTGATATGAAGTGATGGCTGGGGTTGGCTGCACTGCGTGTATGCAACACGTTCTACGTACAGTACTGGGGTCTGATAGAAACACTTATTGTGAACCACAGTAATTTTAAGCCAGCACACTGCACCATGGCACAGATTTGCCCACAGATGTTTGTTTGCAAAAATAGAGAATCAACCAATAACCATCAATGGGGAAAAAATTTATATATGACATAGGATCTATCGGCGCGCAGTACTTTGGCATGATGCAGATCATATGTTGGGAGTTTTACAGATTTTGATGGTTAAACTATCTCTTAACAATTGCGAGGGCCTGTTTGCAAGTGCTTTTGGCATGTGCAACTTTTCCTAAAATCAGAAGCACCCCAAACAATTTAGATATTCATTCAAATGCTAAAATGTTGTAGTTATAGAATCCGGGAAATGAACTAGAAACCAAAAACTGGGTTTTCTAAATTTTTAGAATCTAGCTACCAATCAGTTATTTCTTAAAATTCTGAGTCAGCGGTGTGTCTGCAAAGCTTACCTACGCACCATTTGTCGCCGAAGATTGATCCATTGGATCTCGATCAAGCAACACAAAATTACTCTCGCTGCAACATATATTTTCTCGGCTCACCACCCGAACCCTAGATCTAGCCGCCAGACCCTCATCCCTCCTCATTCTTCTTGCCTCCGTCGTTCCCCGCTGCCTTTTCTCCGCCAACCCCTAGACAACAACCCTGCCGGCGGCCACCTCCCGCCACTAGACAACAAAACCGCCATCGCTAGTTCTCTGGGGGCCTTTCGAGGGCAAGGCGGCAAGGTGGCGCGCAGCCGCACGAATCGATTCAAGCTCTAGCTAGATGCAGCACTGAGGTAAACATCCTCACACATAAAACTTCCCTAGTTAAAATGCAACACAATTGCCCCAGCAGCAGCAGGTAGTGCATGAACAACCACGCAAACAGTATTCTGGAGGGCTAGGGTTAGTACGACAAAGGTTGTGGGTGGCAATGCAAGAACGCTGGAACAAATTCACGGGAGTGAGATTGCGTGCAGCATCACAACAGAGTGAGATTGCAATATAACTTGCCTGTAACTTTTTAGAGAAACACTAGGATAAGGTCACGGGATATAATACCCTCACCTATGCATGCACTGTGACTTTTTTTCCTTCCTCGCTTGCGTGAATCTTGGATTGAGTCTAATGATCTAAAATTACGTGAAAAGTTACATACAAGTTACACTGTATAGTATGTATGTTACAATATAATTACACTACAATTATGATACTGTAGTTACATTTGATATTTTTTCGAGAAATTTTGTCAAGAAATGTAAATAATGGTTCGGAGGTGGCTAGGCGATGAAGCTAAAGACCTGAGGTCCGGCCCAACCACCTGATGTACAGCACAATTCTTTCCAGCTTAACCAAACTGGGCTGCACTTGTGTTACAACTATGCCATAATAAATTTAATAGTTTTGAGAAACACGATTATAATTCACCTTATTGTAAGGATGCCATTGCATCCCTTTCAAAATTGGACTCATGCTTGATATCTATTTGGAATCCTTTTTTGGTTATTGTATTTTTTATGGACCAAAATACCCCTGCATACACTTTAGATCCATATGAACATGCTTCATTTTAGATCAAAACCCAAACTGCAACGAATCATTGCGATGATATATCTATCACACAAAGAGAGAAAAAAAAAGGGAGAATCTAGGATAAGAAGAATTTACGAAGGAAAAAAGGGAAGAAAAAGAGCCAGTCGACCCCGAGCCGGCCATCCCCTCCATGCCGTGACCTGCCGTCCCCAAGCTCGCACTGCCGTCAAACTCGATCACCGGCCCCGACATAGCTCGCCACCGCCAGATATGCTCTTCAGGTCTAGCTCGTGCCTCGTACAGGATGGCATGAAACCAATTTTGAAAGAGTTGAATTAGCATGATGAATTATATTAGCATTCTTTGAAATTAGCAAATTTATAATGGTTTGGATCCAATGAACCCTAAATAAAATTGGCCAAATATACCTGCAATCCCATTGAAGCCCAATTAACTGGATATGTGAGCCTCCCTCTATCCTGCTTGGGCCCAACTGAAATGATCACGGCTCACTTGGGCTGAAATTTCTGAGCTTTTAAGGGCTATTTTGGTTTGAAGCCAAAATGTGCCTTACCAATGCAAATTGTTTCGCACTTTGAATAGTATTTTATTAGTGTTTGGTTTGATACCAAAATATACCAATAACATACAAAAAGTTACTAAAATTTTAGCACACCAAAACTTGCCTACGTTTTGGTAGTACCAATATTTTTGGCATGGTAGCAAACCAGACACATGCTAAGTGACAAATTGTTCTTTCGATGCCCAGCACTAGCTAGGCCATGGCAATTGCTTGACTGTCCCTTGTATAGTACACACGCTTAATTATTGAGCATTCTTCCCCACAAAAAAAAATATTATTGAGCATTCTTCACTAGCACATGCACATGTACACATTGGATGCCATCCAAAGGCTTATGTTACCATGTATCATATATATAGGAGTTTTACCCCCAAAAACTTGCAACATATGCTACTTGCTACTTCTGTACTAGATAAAATGAGAGTGGAGAGAGGCAGGAAATTTGAAACTTCTCCATGGCATCAACCGTCCACGTTATTCCAATGAGAGATTTCCACAATTCGCATGCGTGTACCTTAGCTATGGAATAACATAGGATTAGGAGATATCGTGAAGCACATGAGTGCATTGTGACCCAGACAAGTATCTAGTCGTAAACCTGTTGGAGCGATGAGGTCTCTAGCTCTTGATTCAGTAAAACATCTCCAGTTTGACTGCAACACAGCTGCCTCTACACTTGTGTCCTGAACTAAACAGCCAAGCAAACAGCGTGGAGGGATGGAGAGAAGCAGTGCAACTGCATCGAATTCTACTCTGCTCGTAGACGGGAAGGCAAACAAGTCTCCCAGATGATAACTTCTTTGGTGGAGGGATGAACGAGACGTCGAGACACTGAGCTGGGAGGCAACCAACTTGTGCTTTCTCTTACTTAACTAAATATTGAAAGTAGCTAGCTTGTTGATGGCATAGCATTTGAACATTTGTTTTTTCTGCGTAGATATATATGCAGCAGGGTAACATGCAGACATATTAGAACATTTTGAAGCTAGAACCATCCGTATATCCCAATTAGCAAGTTCGTATGCCTCTCATATACGGCATCATCGATCCTTCGTTAGAAAAAAATATAGATTACTTGTACGAGGAATCAAAATGCAGAGGCAGCAGCCACTAATAAAAAACCCTCATAGGTATCGGCTCATAGGTGTCGGTTCATTTAAAACCGGCACCTATTAATATTTTCCCACTTTTGTGGGATGAAAAAAATATAGAACTGGCACATATGAGTAAACTATATGTGGTAGTTCAGAGAACAACCGGCACTTATTAATATTATATGTGCCATTTAAATTAAAAATTGATACCTATAATATATTATAGGTATCGGTTCTTAAACAAAATACACCCAATGAATTAAACTGAGACGAGCCAAAGACCTGGTGGGAACTTTTATTTGACTCCACCAACGCACCTAACAATCTTAACCACTCATAATGTCTCTCCACCGACACCAAACTCATCTCTCTCACACTCTTCTCCGCCGTCCCTCTCCTATGACGCCTCCTCTCCCTCCTCTCCTATGGCGCCTCCTTCCCATCATCTCACCGAGCAACTGCAGCCGCGGTCATGGTGGCGTGGAGGCCAAGTCGGGGGATTCGGATCGTCTAACTTCGCCCTGTGAAGGTACGAACGTACGTGTGCAGTCACACTTATCCACCATCCATGCAATCCACCATCCGCTACTGCCTTCACCCTCGTATTGATTGTTGAAGCTTTGCCATTCCATCTTCCTGCTAGGACTGGATGCATCAATCGGCAGTCATGCACCATGCTTGCTGCGTGGAATATGGAACACAACTAAAATGAGCGGAGCAAAGTATGCATTATTGCATTGGATTCTATATTGAGCATACAAAGCACGCATTCCATCAGGCAATTCATAAGTTTCAAACAACACCACTCATTACTAAGCACAAATTTACACTGGAGAGTCGAGCGACACCGCAAATCAAAGAGATTGTGAATAGAGTATAGGTTGACAAGAACAAAAGCAGCGCCCTAGAATACAATCTCCATAGCTAAAGTATGTATTCAGTGCCATCAGCAGTTGGAAAAACAGACAAAATTAACTTAGCAAATTTGGTACTTGGGCCCGGCAACAACAAAAAATACTTCAGAGGCGGCTGGTGACAGCCCCGTACTGGCAGACGAGCTCCGGCCGTGCTAGTGGCCACTGGTGGCGGCAATGACAGCGCTGAGACATCGTCGGACTGACACTTGAGTGCGTCTTGTTGGGTTACCATCGGCTTCAAATAGACTTTATCAGCAGTTAATTAAGTGCATGCGTCACACGAGCCGTTGGATTGCATGGATGGTGGATAAGTGCGACATCACACTCGTGCCTTCACGGGTGAAGTTAGACGATCCGAATCCCAAGTCAGGGCAGTTTGCACTGTCCCACCCACTGCAGTCCGGGCTCTTCCTCCACCGCCGGCGCCGCAAGATGCAAGGCGGCCGTCGGGGTCTCTGGAGATCTCCTACTCAAGACCCCTTGCTGTGCAAGGTATGGGATTTTTCCCCTTTTTGTGCCTGTGATTGGTTTCTTGCATGGTTTCCTCAAGGGACTGATTTCATTGAGATGGGATTGGGTGTAGTTGGCAAATTGGAACGTGGTGCATCGCGGATGGCGAATACATGATGTGCGTGTTCTGCAGTGAGGATTTTTTTTTTCATGTTGAAGTTAAGGATTTAGGGGATTATTCGTGTGGGGTTGATCTTGATTTGTTGATTTGGGTGATTGTTGATTCTGCATGTTCTTAATCTGATGTTGGGATTAGGGCAATGGATGTTCATTCTTGGTCTGATTTTGGGAAATTGGTTTGGGCTGGTCGAAGCATTGGCTCATAGAGCCAATGCTACGAGCCAACTTCTCCTCTTTTTCTAATCGTGGGGAGAATAAAGGTGCCGGTTCTACCACCAGCTCCAATGACTCAAGGGTATTAGTGCCGGCTGCAAATCGACACCTATGTTGGGTTTGCAACAGGCATCTAAGAGGGGTTCTGCAGCAGTGAGCAGCGGGCACGAGGAGGCAGGGAGATTGGTGGCATGGATGCTAAGGTAGAGGATCTAGCAAGTAACAAGTCATGATGTCTAGCCCATCTGGCCCAACCTAACTGAGCCGCATGTCATCCGCAATCCCGTTCAGGACCAAATATTATGGGCCACATATCAGCCACAAGTGCATTCCATCCCACCTGACAATGGTGACAGCTAGCTAAACTCTCTTTTGGGGTGAAATATTTGAGGTACATGAGGGTGTACATAGCCAACAAGATAAAACAAGGAATGGTTCCTTGTAATTCAGATGTTCCTATGCCCTTTTTCGCTAGCTACTTGCAACAGAATGTTTCTTCAGTGTGCCCAAGTTCAATAACATCCAAGTTATTATGGACTTTATGAGGTGTATGATCATACATTATATCTGCATTGTATGTGTTGCTTCCTCAGTGGATAAAAGCTAGAGTATAAAGTGAAGCAATACCCAAACATTGTAAATTTAGACATCCTATGTGGGATTTACATACCAACGATAGGTTCAATACTTCATTGGTGTAAGTCTAGTGTAGCCTACACACATTGGATTGGGAGACGAAAGGAAGAAAAATAGCATATGTTGACTTGACCAATCAACCAAATCAGATCAGGACTGCATTGATGTCTTAGGCCTTCTTCTTTACTTCAACTTTTTCGTTTTCTGTTAGCACGTTTTTCAAAATGTTAAATAGTGCGCTTTTTAAAAAAATCTATATAAAAGTTGTTTAAAAACAAACAAATCAATTATTTATGTTTATAATAGTTAATATTAATTAATTACTTCCTCTGTTTCAGGTTATAAGATGTTTTGACTTTGGTCAAAGTTAAACTGCTTTAAGTTTGACCAAAGTTAAACTGCTTTAAGTTTGACCAAGTTTGTAGAAAAAAGTAGTAATATTTTTAACCCAAGATAAATTTATTATGAAAATATATTCAATTATTGATTTGATGAAACTAATTTAGTATTATAAATATTATTATATTTATCTATAAACTTGGTCAAACTTGAAATATTTTGAATTTGACCAAAGTCAAAACATCTTATAACCTGAAACGGAGGGAGTATGTGTTAATGAGCTTTCCCATTTCGCGTGTATGAGAAAATTTTCCTCCAAACGTTTGCAAAGAACACACTTGCAATTTTATAACCCATACACAATGTTTAATGAGTCATTCGGTTTATCCTAATGTTATAATACTTAAAATTGGCGGATGGGTCAGATGATTTTAGAACAAAATTAGTTGGATATTGACTATTTGTGGAAGGAATTTTTTTACGAGCCACAAGCAATTTGGGACCCGAATGACAACTGCAACAAGTTGTAGGACCTATATATATCTGCGAGCATGTGGACCATCATTTAAAACATAGGACCATCACAATCCTCATGGCAAATGGACAGATGGAAGTGGAACCATCTCATCTTAAAACAGGGGTGAGTCCAACCCATATCTTGTTTCTGAACCAAACACATGCCTAGATGACATAGACGAGAGAATTTTAGGGACTTCGTGACCACATGCTTTGTCAAGATCCATAAAAAGAATAACATTTATGTTAAAGGACTTTATAAAAGGTTCTACCAAATAAAAAGGACAGCGGAAAAAAAGTGGGAAGTGGGCAGCTGACAACTTCTCGACTAGACCAGTGCTTCACAAGCGAACCATGTAGTTACATTACATACATAGAAATGGGATGCATTGGGAGCCAAAAGAGTGCGTCGGCAGCTTGTCGTCCATCCAAGATCTCCTGACTACCAGTGCTTTGGTTGCAAAGTGTTGATGCAGATAACCCTCTTTGGTTTAACTGTAACAGAAATGCCCGAACAAATCGATCTCGGTCAACCATGTAAACAGTGTTGAGGACGACCGGAAACGATGAAATGGAAGGGGTAGATAAAAAGCTGATTGGCTGCTTTCAGACCAGGTGGAAGTTGTATGGCTGTTATAGAACTCATTGAATTCTTGGTAGCGGGCTCCCAATATTGTCGAACAAAAAGTTTCCATAGAAACAGCACTCCCTCCATACTCGTAAAGGAAGTCGTTTAGGACAATGTTTAAGTCAAACATTGGAAATATAAATCATGATCGAATAACTCTCAAGTTGTTGAGTTTGAAAATATAAAAATTATATGTATAGATTTGTCTTGAAAATACTTTCAGAAAAGTATACATATATCACTTTTCAATAAATATTTTTATAGAAATAAGAAATCAAAGTTGTGTTTTGGTGACCGTGTCGCTGTCCTAAACGACTTCCTTTACGAGTATGGAGGGAGTATTTCAGAAACACAGTAATATATAGGAGTATTTTGATGTCCATTGATCTACAACACGCTTACTGCAGGCATACAAATAAATTCAATTTCCTCAAGTACTGAAATTCAGTGGCAGCAGTTCATCCCAACTGCACAATCGTAGTGATTGCGTCAAACACGAGAGATATATAGTATGCACATTGGAGAGCTAACCATTAGTCGATTTCAAGAATCATTCAATGACACAAAGTAGATGATAGACGTCAACAAAAGCGAGATTTTCAGAAGCTGATAAAGGTTTTCAAAAGGAGATCATTAGCAGTTACCCATTCACTCACAAAAACGACTAGGCTTGAAAGAGATCAGGAACGACAGTACAACAGCCACAATTGCGCAGCTGCTGGTCAGTGGTTATTACACTTGGAGTTCATACGAATCAACCAGAAGCAAGCACATAATAGGTGTTTTTCTTCAAGCATGCATAATAGTTTTTGCATCGAATAATAACTTTTCCAACCACAAGCAGATTTGGTCCTCAGACAAAACAAATCGACACTATATATCATGTGTTCAGATTCTCAATGATACACTTCATGAGAGTTTTCGATCTCGGGTGGTCTCCAGGGATTCTGTTGAATTGACTGGACATTTTGATACCATTCGAATTTATTCCTTTAACTCAGATCTAAATGGCTTCCATTGGATCATTCATTATTTTTTTTCGAATTGCACCAAAGTCATAGAATTTATTCACAATTAGCATTTCTCTCAACGAAATTTTGCTTGAGATATATCGAACTCACTATCCCTTGACCCAGTGGAGACTTTTCTTCGGGGTGAGAACCACCAGGGTATGAATGAAAATTTTATTAATATTGGCAAAAAGTGAGAACAAAATCTAATGAGATAAATGTCATTTTTTATATAAATACAAATCAATATCCATATTGGCTCAAGCCAAAGTTTTCAATACCAGTCCCAAGCTCAAACATTATGTAGGTTGTAAGGAACATATTGTTGGAATTAATAGATGGGCCTTAGCCCACTCGAAGTTTAATTCTTTGAAAAATCAGAAAAGTCCACCACATGCGATGGCATGCATAGCGAGTTTAGTACCACCTTACTTATTCTAGGAGAGAGGGATCTCCTTAGGGAGGATGCCCTCCTAGCCACTTGAAGTATGTGAGATGGAGAGAAGAGGGGGAACACACGCGCTTGCTCGCTTGCCGGGCCGGGCAGGCGGCGCGCGACGTACGCATCGAATAGATGCAGCCTGCTTTTGCAGTTATGTTTTGCTGTGTGAAATTCGGATTTGTTTTATTTTGGAAATATTCTGAAAAATCCGAGAAAATTCGGATTTGTTTTGTTTTGGAAATATTCCGAAAAATCCGGTGCGTGAAAACAGACTTAAAATTGGTTCCTCACCCTTACGCAGATGCAGCCTGCTTTTGCAGTTATGTTTTGCTGTGGGAAATTCGGATGTGTTTTGTTTTGGAAATATTCCGAATAATCCGGTGCGTGAAAACGGACTTGACAAGGGTGTGTAATCACCTATTATTTATGCATAGTATCTCCTCCGGTGCGTGAAACCGGTCTTGACAAGGATGTGTAATCACCTATTATTTATGCATAGTGGCTTCTAGTTCTCGGAAATATTAAAAAGAGATAGAGAAGCAATAGGCGAGAATAGGCTAGCTGGGAACTTCACAGTAAGATAAATAACAATACTACTCTGAGATTCATGGCTTGCTACTTGCCTATTTGGCATGCATGTACCGTGGCTACATACATAGGATTCGGAAGTATTGGGAATCAACAGAGTGCGCTATGAGTTGGACAACCATCTAATCCCAAACTAGTGTCCACTGCGAGGTAGAGAAGTCCTGATAGAGTAAAATCTATCTGTTTTCACTGTAACACAACTAGCTGTTGATGCGAAAAACACACATTGATCTGTGAGATCTGCTTAGCTCCAGTCAAATTTTGGCGTTAACATCAGCTCTTCCCACAGGCTCTTATCAAGCGAGCACAAAGTGCGGAGGAAAGACTTAGGCCTTCTTTTCTTCAACTCCAACATTTTAGTTTTCCGTTAGCACGTTTTTTGGTTAAATAGTGCGCTTTTAAAAAAATTTCTATAGCAAAGTTATTTAAAAAACAAAAAAAATCCATTTTTAATGTTTATAATAGTTAATATTAAATTAATCATCTCTTAACGAGCTTTCTCGTTTCGCGTTTATGAAAAAAATTTCCTCCAAACGTTTGCAAAGAACATGCTTGCAATTTTATAACCCATACACAATTTATTTATGACTCATATTGGGTTTATTCTAATGTTATAATGTTTAACATTGATTGACAAAATTGGTTGGATGTTGACTATTTGTGGAAGGAATTTTTTTTAACGAGCCACAAGTAATTAATTTGGGACTAGAATGACACATTGTAACAAGTTGTAGGACTTATATCCATGAGCATGTGGGCTATCCCTTAAAAAATAGGATCATCCTATTCCTCATAGCAAATGGATATAGATGAAACGTACCATCTCATCCAAAAATAGGGGTGAGTCCAACAAATCTCATTTTGTTACTGAACCAAACATATGTCTAGATAACATAGACGAGCAAATTTTGGGGTTTGCCATGCACTTTACTCTGCTTTGTCAGGATTCATAAAAAGAATAACATATAACTTAAGGACTATATAAAAGGTTCTACCAAATAAAAAGGATAGCTGAAAAAAGGGTGGGAAGTGGGAAGCCGACAACTTCTCGACGAGGCCATGTAGTTACATTACATACATGGAAATGGGATGCATCGTGAACCACAAGAGTGCACTGGCAGCGTGTCCATCATCCAAGATCTCCCGTGTACCAGTGCTTTCGTTGCGAAGTGTTAACTGTAACAGAAATGCCTCAACGAATCCCTGGAGATCAACAATGTAAACAGTGTTAGAGGACGACCTGAAAAAAAGGATGCTCTCAGATCTCTGCACGTTGGAAGCTGCATGGCTGTTATAGCACTCACTGAATTGTTAGTAGTGGGAGAACAAAACGTTGCCATAGAAACAGTATTTGAGAGGTACAGTAAATAGGACTATTTGATGTCCATCAATCTACAACACCCTTCTTACTACATGCATCCAAATAATTAGATTCAGTTTTCTTATGACCTGAACATGGTATTACACTGGCACTGGCTTGACGCCTGACGCAAGAGCCAGACAGTACCGTGGTGCATATTGATGCAGCAAGACAGGGATGGAGACTGCTACAAACCCTGAACCTGAACTTTCGAAATTGTGGGTTCCTAGATGTTGGTTGTCCCAGGCATGCATCATATGCATAGAGTATATTTTTGCATGGAAGGGATCTCCTGTAAAGGGGACTTATTTGGAGAACTGTGGATGGTACAACTATTTTTAGATAATGGAAGTTCTATTGGTCTCAGTCAATTACATCAAAGTGACCCAATTATCCTAAGAACACTCTCAGCCTCTGCATAGCTAAGATGCACACAGCTAAAACACACTAAAAGAAAGACATCAACAGTAGTATTAAGGACCATCAATTCTGAGACTAGATCGCCACTCATGTTTCCGGGTAAAACAATCCTTGAGGATGGTACAACTATTGATGTAAAGAATGATAATTGGATCCCTAGGATTGGAGTGGACTGCTTAAACCACTGGGTTTAAGGCAAAATAATGGTGTAATCAAAGTTAACGATCTCTTTCCCCCAGTAACAAAAGACAATGGAGTATGGAAAGTTAACCACTGGTTCCTTTTACTTCAGCTGTACCCGTAGCATCTAATTTTTGCAACTACTACTTACAACCACAAGTTTTGCCAGCATGCGCATATTAAATGACATTCAAGTTATGGACTTGACAAGGGTGTGTAATCATCCATTATTTATACATGGTATGTCCTAGTTCCTGGAAAGATTAAAGAGAGAACCAAGAGGCGAGAATTGGCTGGCTGAGAACTTCACAATAAGATAAAGTTACTATACCGTGAGATTCATGGATTACTACTTGCCAATTTGGCCTGCATGTACCTCAGCTACAAACATAGGAATGGGAAGAATTGGGAATCAAAGGAACACACCGTGAGTTTGAGAATCTCATCTAAGCCTAAACTAGTATCCATGTAGATTTAGAGAAGTCGTGATAGAGTAAAATCTATCTGATTTCACTGTTTAGGGCATGTACTAAGGGAGAGTCAGGTGTGAGCTCTATATCATCAAAGGCTATTATCTTACCGCAGTTGAGACAACCATTAATGTACCAAAATAATCTTATCTTTCTCTTCTTTCCTTTCTTTCAAACCACATCCAACAAAATATTTTCTAATAAATGTTAAGAGTCGACTCTGAACTAGTGTTATGCGTAATGATCATGTTTCTCTTTCCATCCCTCTCTTTGTTCCATGTCATCAAATTTATTTGCACGATAATAGCGAGAGCCCACTAGTAAAGACCATCGTACATACCCTAACGCAACCAGCTCTTTCCATGGGCTCTTAGCAAGTGAGCACAAAGTTCCGAGGAAAGCCAATGGAAGTTAAAAGATTTCGATCGACTGTAGCCTCCTGTATGCCAGCTAGCGGGCGGACGAGTTGATCGGTTAGATCTGCACTCATATGGAAAGGTGCCTGTCGTCCCTTTTTTCGTTCCTTATTTTTTGTTCACGTTAATTTTTTGTTTTCCCTCCTATATTTTGTATTTTGTGTATATAAATGCCTTGGAAATTTTGTTCCGCATATATGAACTTTTGACACATCTATATATATACATATATGCATATATAGGCACACCCAATGAAATTTCCGTAAGTATATTACATCTGAGTAGTTTTGAAGGCAATCAAGTATATTCATCCACAGGTATTTTAAAACTTTATACCCTTCAATTGAAAGCTGCTCCCAGCATATGGTGCACATCTGAGGTGAATTATTGCTCTGCAGGAAGCCAAGCATACACTACAATTATGTGCATGAATACATTTTTTAGATAATGATGTGTAATACGTACTGGCAGATAAAAGGGGACTTGACAGAGGACAGAAAACATTCAGAACTACAAACGGGTTTGGAGCTCAGACATGAGAGACACAAACAACACTTTTAGTATACACATGCATAAGGCATACAAATTAAGGATTGGATCATTGGAAGGTATCGGCAATCAAGCTAGTTGCTTTGCAATTTCTAACAGCTTCCCCACTACAAAAAGAGGCAGTATTTAGGTAGCTAAATCTTGCTGGTTTACTACATTTTAGGCTGGTTTCTATCTCAACTGGCTAGTGTGTTTTATGTTCAAGCGAATGCACTATGGAGGGTGCGTGCATGATGCTGTCAGGCGCCTTGCAACTATATTACCCTGGCATCTGCTTGAGTAAGCTCCATTACAAGAATCTATCATCAACGGTAGCACCGATTTCCGATAAATTGATCTGTCTTGTACAGATCCGCTGATCAAGAAACTTTCATGTGCGAAGAAGATCAGGGGGTACAAAAGAGATATCTGAAAAGTTTATTCAAGACAAATGAGATCGTGCAGGATACAACCATTAGAAATTTAGAATTTAGCCAGGATATAATTAACTTGATAGTTGACATGGCCATAATACCAAGTATGCTTGTAGAAACAATTTTTTCAGTGTTCTCCACTGATGATATAATCAATTTAGACCTTCCATCTTTTCTCATCCAATAGACATTATATATTTGATAAATTTTACCACCGAAACTACTAGTAGAATCCATTGAAAAAATTGTTGGTAGTTGGAACATTTTCTTCAGTAGCTAATAGATATCATAAAGCAATTGTTCATATAACTTCTGGTAGTCATAATACTTGTACTATTTATCGTAAAACATTACCATTAGAGATAACCCTAAAAATACTCGCTTGCAAAATGAGAATTCGTTGGGTGCTGAATATGAAGGACATTGATACTCCAATTGCCCCAATATTAGTCTAGTGAAATATTTTAAACCGTTGACAAAAAATAGAGCGAAATTTGATTTTGTTTATTGGAGTAATCTAATACTATTTTAGCTCCGTCAACTAGTAGCAAGTGCATGCTTGATAAATAAAGGCATCTAAGCTCAACGTACGAATGAGTTTACTAGGGGAGTACATTTTTGACAGATTTATTGTTACTTTGGTCAGATAAAAAGAGAGCGAGAGGGCATTGTGTCGTCCCTCCACATAGCTGCAGTCACTACGCCAGATCAGTCAATCTTTGATGGTCCATCTCTGATGCACAGATTTATATTGTTAATTTAAAGTTTTCTTTATACTCTTCCACATATAAACTCTAGCTGAAGATCAAAATTCAGAACGTATTGGTGGGAGACGTTAAAAAGCGCTTGTCATGCATATAGTGAATTTCCAAATAGGATTGGGAGGCATTGGTAATGAAAGAACTCCGAGAGCGATGGATCCAGCATCCAAGACTTTTTAGCTGTAGCAGAAAGTGTGAAGCAAACTCTCTCTCCATCGATTTGCCAGTTTTCAGATGTTTTGGAAGCTAAGTTGCCTCTCGCGCTCTGGGGCAAGTGTCAGTTGCTGTTCAGAACTGTGCACAGTACGACTGCCTCAGGTGAAGCTAGCTGTGTTGTGCATGTAGCTTCGACGATTGGAAGGAGAGATCTAGCAGCTGTACGACTTTCCAGGATGGGGTTATTCGAGTGATCGATTAGGGCTCTGTTTAGTTCCACATCAAAATTAGAAGTTTGGTTGAAATTGGAATGATGTGACGGAAAAGTTTGAAGTTTGTGTATGTAGGAAATTTTTGATGTGATGAAAAAGTTGGAAATTTGAAGAAAAATTTTACAACTAAACACAGCGTAGGTGTTCTAAACAAGGATAATCGCTAAATGAATAGAGCATGCACCCATAATGCTCTTACTCCTTAATGGAAAAATCTTTCGAAATGAGCTTCCCTCGTTTAGTTTTTAGAGGGCTTTATTTAAAGCTGATGTTCTTCTGCATATGTGCAGAATGAAGAAACCTCTAAAAGAGATAGTTTTTTATTGGTTACCAACAGTGTAATCTTTTTTCTAGTCTCTTGTAATTTGTAAATATCTTTTTTTCTATAAAATCACACTGCGAGGCAAAGTCATGCAGTATTTCCGGTAAAAAAAATATTCGTCATGTAGATAAGTAACCGTCGTAAGCGTAATCTGCATAAAATCTCGATCTTAATTTGCTTTCTACATATAGTAGTATAATGCGGCATAGCATATATATCTCCTACTTCCTCTTCCAATAAAGCTATGACAAAGAAAGCCAATCAGGGGAGGAGTCGAGTCCGAACATCATGAGAAGGAATTAATCTGAAAGAAGTATATAACGAGGCATCAACAGAAACAAAATCATGCGGATCTTCCATTGTAAGAAGGCACGATGTAATTTGGCAATGCACTCAAAGCAATATGGGTAAAAATCTAACAAAAAGTACTAGTACCATACTTCGTCTTAACGGTCCAACGAAAGATCGAAGACGATACGAAACACCTTTCAATACGTGAAAATTCTAGATAATGTGTATACAAGGGAAACAATATATAATAATGACTCGATGGAAAATTAATCTGTACTTTTACTTATGTGCATAACTTATGTTTAATTGTCGAAACAAGATTTTGGCAATACGAAAAGGGGGTGGCTATCAAGCTAGAAAAGTGGATGGGTTTTGAGACACAGAGTTTTATACAGGTTTAGGCCCTCTCAATGAGAAGTAATACCCTACTCCTGTGCGGAGATTGATCCACCGAGTGTATTATTGATCGTATGATCTGGAAAAAAAGTTATGCTCCAAGAGACACCCGGACCCCTCCTTATATAGGGGGAGGAGTCCATATTACAAGGTACAACCCAGTCGGATACGAAACTGACTAAGAGGTGAGTAAAGATAAAATATAATCGTAACTGACTAAGACTCAGGGTATTTCCTTGATACACAAGTTTGGAATTTAACCCGAGTCCCTTAAAGATATTCTATCTACATACAGTACCCCTATACCTAGTCGGATATACATGCCATGTGGGTATGGGGTATCCATAATCTCCACATTAATTTTCTTAACAAAGTTAGTGATCACCAGTCATTGTTTATAACTAATTTATACTTGTACCATAAGTTGAGTGAAAGTTGGGGATTTTCTATAAAGTAGTGAACATTGATGCAATTCAACAACAATGTACTGAATATTTTCTGTTGAAACATTCGACCAAAAAATCTATACCTATACTAATTGGGCACTTTCTACGAACTCTCACGTTAATTAGAAAAATCCATCCGTTAATCGAGTAGACAGTGTAATCTTAACCGTAGATTATCAATCTCCTTTTAATCGTTTTAACGTGATGGGCCTGGCAAAGCCCATTCAATCTGTCCTACTGTCACCCACCTACGTATACCTTTTCTTTTTTTTCTAATATTCTTTTAATCCTTTTTAACGTGATGATGGACCAGTCACCAGGGAAACATCTGTCTGGCTGTCTCCCACATAAGAATTTTAATTCTTTTTCTGTTTTTTTCAATACGCGAGTACTACTATTTTCTTTCAGTAATCTGTTGTCGTAAGTATTCTTTTCCACAGCTGTACGTCCAAAATTGGTAGAACGGCATAATTGCATTATTCGGTAGATGGCAAGGATTAACGCGTCGACGGTAGTCCTTCTTCATATGCAGATGGCTATGGCGTACGTCCTGCAAACTCTCCAGCTCTGATGATTTTCTCACCAAGAGACATCGTTCGAATTGATCTCTCTGCCTCCGGTTGATATTTTCTTAACAAAGATTTGGTTCAATTTCTTTTGTTTAATTCATAACTCAGCTATGCCATCATTTGATCTTATAAATTCAGGTGTTATTTGCATGTCGATCTAGAATTAAACAAGTTCACTTGCACCCAATAAGATCGGGAGTGGCCAGTACATCTGCACAGCATTATAAGGAAGAAGCATATGCACACACACCCCTTAATACGCACCTAACAAATGCATACTCAAATAAACGGAGATTAGCTGTAAAACCAAAAACCATAGCCTTCATATGGATGGTAAGTGAATCCTTACATAACTTTCAAATATGACTAATTTAATATTTTTTATGTTACTTGGCATCATATCCTACAAATATGAAGAACTGAAGAAAACAACACACACATGAGACATAAGATTAATCCTATTTCGAATTACATATATAGATATATATTTTATATTATACTCCATGTGGTTAGGTGAATCTTATTACCAGCTGATCAACTTCAAGTTGAGAATTTGTTTTTAAAGTAAACATTCCAATTGCAATATGTAATCTCTTTAGCTTTTCAACATTGTCTAAAAGCAAGATTCCAAAGTCCAAACCAAATTAAAAGTACAACACGAACAAACATGCATGATTAATTCTTAATTTCGAAATTATTCTATCAAGTAAAATTCTCGATCGTTACTGAATACTAAATCTAGGATCATTAAATCATGGAAAAACAGTAACTAACACTTGAAACAAAGAACATTTCAATACTTATTAAATAGTATTAACTTCACAACTATTAAATCATGAAAAACCTATAATCAAGGTCCCAAACCGAGTACAACTCTTTAATAGTTAAATTTTGGAGCTATTAAATAACAATATTCTATAATCAACACTTAATGTCCATACTGGGTATAGTCGTACTAACTAATTTTAAAATTTCAAATTAAATAATGAAAATGATAAACCATGACTCCATAGATGCGTGCAAATCAACAGTTATTAATTCTTATTTTTAATATTATTAAATATAGAAAATAAAAAATAACTAGCAGAGAAAATATTAAGATGGATGACTCAATATTTGTGTATTTTTCATTTTTCAACAATCAATCATTCTGCTGTGTTTAGAACATTAATATAAAGTCTACATGTAAATTTAATAACTACCGTATTGGACATATGATAAAATTTCAATATTAATAATAATATCCCGTGCAACGCACGGATAGACGGCTAGTTATCTGAATTTAAAGACATTGTTCGATTATACCAGTTAGCTAGCTGACATTCAGTATGTGCGCAACACACTATCGCCAGTTCCCTTTGCTTGATTTCATCGCATTTAATAAGTTTGGACTTTATAAGGATGTGCAATCACACAGTGTGTTTTCAACTGTATCTCTCCTTAATTTCCTAGAAGATAAAAATGAGGAGAAATAGGGTGAGAACAGGGCAACTCACAGCTAGCATCTCGGCAAAGACCAGTGCTTCACATGCTTACAATGCAGTTACGTTACAAACGTAGAACTAGGATGCATCGGGAATCAAACGAGTGCATTAGCAGTTAGCCAACTATCCAATAGTTCTTATCCAAGTTTTGATGCTCTTGTTTAGCTGTAACACAACTACCTCTGCCAATAGCTTGTGGCCTTCCGGTCAACCGAGCAAAGCATTTTATTGCTTTTAGTTTTTCAGTCTCTGCCGTCTCCATATTTTCTAGACACCCAAGAGTCAAAATGTCTCATAGAAATAGCATGGTTGTGCTTCAGAGGTGCTCATTGGGAACTTTTTTCATCCACACACAAAACGAGGTAGCTCATTAGCATATCATTATTTAAGTATTAGCTTAAAAGCTTCAAAATGGATTAATATAATTTTTTAGAAGTTTTTCTATATTCATTTTTTGGAAAAAAAATTGTACCAT